AAAGATGATGACATCACTGCTCATCTAAAAGTACTGTATGAGGCTGATTTCAATGATTTAGAGACTCCGGGAGTATGCCAAAGTGTCGAAAACAAAGAAGCGCTTCGAATCGTTGAAAAGTCTTCAGTGTTCAAGGATGGTCATTACGAAGTACCATGGCCATGGAGAACGGCCGAAAGACTTCCTGACGATTATCGTCTAGCCCATTCTCGATTGCAATATATAAGAAGGCGTTTTGCAAAGGATCTGACTTTGTTAGCACGATACAGAAACCGCATGAACGATAGCATCATTAAGGGCTACCTCGAACCTGTACCAACTCATCAATCTAAATCAGGGTACAAAAGGAAGTGGTATTTACCTCATCACCCCGTCTTGAACCCGAAGAAACCAGAAAAGCTGCGAGTCGTCTTAGATTGCGCGGTCAAGTTTGATGGTGTATCCCTGAACGACAGATTGTATCTAGGTCCCGACACTACTGCGAATTTGTTGGGAGTTCTGTCGCGCTTCCTGAGCGAGCACCTTGCTGTGGCTGCAGATATTTCAAAAATGTTCATGCAAGTAAAGGTTCCCGAAGCCGCAAGGGTGGCGGAAGAACTGAGGAAAGAAACAGGATTTGCGTTCACAAGAACAACTTACTGGACGGATTCAATTATAGTGCTTCAGTATATGCGGAACACTGTCACCCGCTATAGTATCTTCATGGCAAACAAAATCTCTAGGATTTATCAGTTGTCGTAACCCGGTGATTGGCATCACGTGGTGAGTGAAAATCCGACAGATTTAGCCTCTAGAGGGGTAAGTTCTCTGAGTGCTCTTCTCTATTGGTTCAAGAGACCGGCCTTTCTGGAAGCGTCTGAGGCCCAGTGGCTACAGTACGAACCAAAGTTCATACCAGAAGGAATAGAATTAAAGCGGAAGCACACTGCGGTTAACGTGACCGCTGCTTCGGAACCAACTGGGTTGCATCTTCTAATGTAAGGGTGTTCCGATCGATCTAAACTTCCACGACCTGTGGTATGGTTGACAAGGTTTAAGGCATACCCGAGAATGATTGAAAACGCCTCAACTGAATCCTCACTGAACACTGGCGGATTGAAACTCACAGAAATGAGGCAAGCTGGGCGTGATATTATTTGTATGTTTCAGAAGACGGTATACCCAGGAATCACGCTGGAATTAGAACGCGCAGGTAAGGTTGACGAACGAAGTGTACGCAACCACAAACTAATACGCTTATGCCCGATATTGATAGATGGTTTGCTGTGTGTAGGAGGTAGGTTGGATAACCTTTTGTGGCCGCGTGGTGCCAAACATACTGCCCTCGAAGCATAACGTCACCAGGTTGATAGTTTGGAACGCTCACGTGCTGAATGGGCATTGTGGACTATCACATACGTTAGCCGAACTGCGCCAAAGATATTGGGTCGTTCAGGGAGTATCGATGACTAAGCGGGTGCTCCATAGTTGCTGGACGTGTCGAAGGAACCTTACAACGGCTTCACGACAAGCTATGGCGCCACTGCCGGTCGACAGGATCCAGCCAGGCTGGCATCCCTTCAAGATAGTTGGGTGTGACTATTTTGGACCACTGACAGTAAAGAATGGAAGAAAGACTGAAAAAAGGTATGGCTGTTTGTTTACCTGCTTACAGATGAGGGCAGTGCACCTTGAAATGGCCCATTCGTTATCTTCTGACTCCTTCATTAAGGCGCTGATGCGTTTTATAGCACGAAGGGGAGCCCCAGAAAAGATTATCAGTGATAACGGTTCTAATTTCGTCGGGGCGGAGATGGAATTGAAACGAGCCATAGATCGACTTTCACATTCCCGCATCAGCGCTGAACTAATGCGGTATAACGTCGAGTGGCAGTTCACTCCACCGTTGAGCAGCCATAGAGGCGGAGTATGGGAACGTCTCATACGTTCCGTAAGGCGGATACTAAGGTCGACAGTAAATGAGCAGAGTGTGAACGACGAAGAACTAGTAACGTTTCTTACGGAAGCAGAACGGGTAATGAATGGACGCCCTATTGTGCCCAATCAAACCAACTATTTCGACAAGCCGGCACTGACGCCGAATGACTTGCTCATTCTCAATAATAGGGTACATGGAGTTGTGCCGGAAAGTATAACAGAGAGGTATACGAGAGGTTGGCAGCAGGTGAACTACTTGACTCAAGTATTTTGGAAGCGCTGGGTGAAGGAGTACGTACCTCTGCTTCAAGAGCGAACTAAGTGGCAGAAACCTCAGAGGAACTTCAGGAAAGGGGATGTAGTCCTGGTGCAATCAGGTGCGTTCTCTCGGGAACAGTGGCCCGTAGGCGTGGTTGATGAATGTGAAACGTCGGGTGACGGTTTAGTTAGGACCGTAGTTGTACGCACACGAGATGGTAGGCTTAGGAGGGATGTGCGTAAGATCGGTTTGATAGAGTGTTGTGAGTAGGGGTGGTGGAAAGAGATGGGAACCGCGCGCTCAACTCTCCGCAGGTGGGAGATGGGTTTTCGAACTCATCGCATACAGAGAGACCACTGGGAGTTGGCGCGTGAGCAAGTTCCGTTTGGCGTACTGCTGTAAGTCCACTCGGAACTTGGGGTAAGTAAAATATTTGAGCCAGGAATGACCATAGCTTGATGGAGGAAAATCCACTGGGATTTTGGGTGGCGGTGTAGAAGACAGCTTGCCAACAGTGTGCTCCCGTTTCCAACCCCAAGTGACAGCCAATCCCCATATTTATTCCCCTTGACCAGATGAACTGAAACCTTCTTGTTTTACTGAACTATTTTTATAACTCTTACGGACTTTGGTCGGACATTGTGATTTTGCGGTTGCTCGCCGTCGATATCTGTTTGGTTGTGACGATATCGATTTTGAGGCGTAGTGATCTGCGCTTTATCCTCAGGCTGGTAATTGTACCGCCTTATTTTTGTAACCCTACGGTATCTGCAGAGGAGAATCCGTTGAGGTTTGTTGAATATGTATATTATTGTGTTTGCAATAGTACCGTGATTCCAGAATTCGGATTTCTTGGTCGTTTTCCTGGATTGGCACGCGTGACTCAAACTCAGAAAGCAGATAGCCGTAACAGTACTCAACAGTTCCAGTACTCAACGGTGCTCTACGGGCACAGTACTTAACGGTGTACGGATCCAGTACTCCACGGTCTACGAACTCGGAGAAGATGGAGAAAGCCCCGTCAATGGATCTCTATCTACCGGAGGAATCGAGGCAAGTCGGCCGTTCTGGCAATCCTTTAGCTATTGGTTCATCTCCTGGCTCTGACTCAACTAAGCATAGGAAAATAAAGTCGGTTGCGCTTTTGCGAGCGCAGATTAAGGCAGAGGAAATGGAGAAAGAATTGCAGCTTATGCGGGCGCGTAATGAGGTGCGTCTAGCGGAGTTAGAGCTGGATTCGGACGATGATTCCGTCGTTGACGTGCAGGTTGACCCGCAGGATAAGGTAAAGGATTACCTAGCCGGGATGGTAAGTAGCACACCCATATGTGAGGCACCAGCGGTCCAACCGACTTCTTGCGTGGTTAAGGCAGACCTACCTAGAGTGGACTTAGAGGCCTTCGATGGCAACCCAAGGTGCTATTGGAGATTTATTCAACAGTTCAAATACTACATAGAGGATAGAGTGCAAGATAGTGGACAGAGGATGCTATATTTGATTCATTACTGCAGAGGTCCTGCGAAGGAAGCCGTGGCTGAATGCGTAATGTTGCCTCCCGAGATTGCTTACAGTAGAGCGAGGGAAATACTTAAGGATCTCTTTGGGAGAGAACATATGGTGGCCAGAGCCATACTGGACGATCTGTTCAAGAAATTGAAACCGTTGCATGACGATGCAGATTCATTGTCTCGTTTGTCCATAAATCTTCAAAACTGTCACGTTGCTCTGAGTCAGATGAATCATACTAGTGACATGAATTCGGTCTCGACCATAGAGCGCATTCTCCGTACGTTATCGAAGGATGCTCGTCGAAACTGGGCAAGGTTGGCTGACTCTATGGACAACCTTGGAAAACAGATAGGTTTCTCTGACCTATGCAACTTCGTTGCTCAAGAGGCCCGCATTGCTCGCAGCCGCTATGGTATGCTTACCATAGGCTCAGAACACAATCGTCCTCAAACGCAGCATCATCGGGTAGGCAATGGAAGGCGCCATAGTGTATTCGCCCTTCATAAGGGAACCGATGACTCGTGCCCTTTTTGTAACGAAAGACATGGACTGGTGCAATGTCGTAGGTTCACTGACTTGCCAATGCAAGCAAGATGGCGTATGGTGAGAAGGAAGCGGTTATGTTTTGTATGCCTAAAACCAGGCCATGCCAGTAACGAGTGCGATTCTCCTAAGAAGTGTGGTATAGAGAGCTGCTTGGGGTCTCACCATCATCTGTTGCATGTAGTGCCAGATGCCAACAAAACCACTTTGGTTGGTTTGTGCAACTCGACATCTCAGACGGAAACAGGAACCTGCCTTGGCGTCGTACCGGTTCGAGTGAATGGTCCGCAAGGCAGCGTTCTCACGTACGCATTGTTGGATAGTGGGTCGGACGTAACATTGGTAAGGAAAGACTTACTTGATGAGGTTGGTCTGACTGGCACTCCAACAACCTTGAATTTATCGACAGTGAGTGGGACCTCCACTGTGGAGGCTGCAAGTCTCAGAATTGAGTTTGAATCGGCAGATTCAGGTGAGACCGTAGTGACTGAACAAGCCTTTGCAATACGCTCTCTGCCCATCAGCCCACCGGTCATGAGCCCAACGAAGGTAGCTAGCCAATATGATCATTTGAAGGACACTACCTTTGTGGAGCTTCCAGATAAGCGTGTGAGAATATTGATAGGAGAAGACGTTCCAGAGGCACACTGGCCTATGGAGAAAAGGTTGGGCAAGCAGAAGGAACCCTACGCTGTAAAGACACCTTTGGGTTGGGTTCTACTTGGTCCGTTGTCTATAGGACATAGAGTCTGGAGACATGTGCACCATGTAAGTACGAAAGATGATGACATCACTGCTCATCTAAAAGCTCTGTATGAGGCTGATTTCAATGACTTAGAGACTCCGGGCGTATGCCAAAGTGTTGAAGACAAAGAAGCGCTTCGAATCGTTGAAGAGTCTTCAGTGTACAAGGATGGTCATTACGAAGTACCATTGCCGTGGAGAACGGCTGAAAGACTTCCTGACAATTATCGTCTAGCCCACTCTCGATTGCAATATATGAGGAGGCGTTTTGCAAAGGATCTGACTTTGTTAGCGCGATACAGAGAACGCATGAACGATAGCATCATTAAGGGCTACCTCGAACCTGTACCCACTCATCAATCTAAATCAGGGGACGAAAGGAAGTGGTATCTACCTCATCACCCCGTTTTGAACCCGAAGAAACCACAAAAGCTGCGAGTCGTCTTAGATTGCGCTGCCAAGTTTGAGGGTGTATCCCTGAACGATAGATTGTATCAAGGTCCCGACACTACTGCGAATTTGTTGGGAGTTCTCTTGCGCTTCCGGAGTGATTATGTAGCTGTGGCTGCAGACATTTCTGAAATGTTCATGCAAGTAAAGGTTCCCGACTGCGACAGGGGTGCATTACGTGTGTTATGGTGGGACTCGGAAGACTTGACCGGTGAACCCAAGCAATTCCGAATGACATCTCATCCGTTTGGCGCCACGTCCTCACCATTTTGTGCCAATTTTGCTTTGAGAAAGACAATCTCAGACTGGGGATTGCATTGCATGACTGAGGTGAAACAATCAGTGGATAGGTATTTCTACGTTGACGATTGTTTAGCATCACTTCCGGATGTGAGCGTGGCTCAAAGATTTGTGCGTGAGCTAAGTGGAGTTTTATCAAAGGGCGGTTTCCACTTAAGAAGATGGATATGCAACAGAGAATCTCTCTTGAGTGAGGTGTGTGAGTCGGATGTTTCGTCATCGGTGCTTTCCATTGAAGCTTTTCAGACAGTCGAAAGGACGTTGGGCTTACAATGGGATGCTAAAGCGGATGAATTTCGCTTCACCTTTGTTTTTCCCGATCGACCGCTCACTCGACGGGGAATACTGTCTTCGATCTCCTCCCTGTTTGATCCCTTGGGTTTGGTAGCCCCTTTGCTTTTGCCAGCAAAAATACTGTTACAAAAGCTGTGTAAGAAGCAATTACATTGGGATGAAAAACTGAGCGATGAAGACTCAGAGGAGTGGAAGATGTGGTTGGAGAGTATGAGATCGATTGGAGAACTGAAAATACCCCGTTGCGTGAAACCTGTCCATATTTATGATGCAAGTGTGGACTTGCATATGTTCAGTGACGCCTCCGAAGTGGGGTATGGTGTGGTTGGGTATTGTCGCTGGTGCATCGAACCCGAGAAATTCACGTGCATGCTGATATACGCCAAGTCTAGAGTGGCACCTTTGAAATCTGTAACAGTGCCGAGGCTTGAGCTGAATGCTGCGCGACTAGCCGCAAGGGTGGCGGAAGAACTGCGGAAAGAAGCAGGATTTGTGTTCACAAGAACAACTTACTGGACGGATTCAACCATAGTGCTTCACTATATACGGAACACTGCCACTCGCTATAGTACCTTCGTGGCAAACAGAATCTCTACGATTCATCAGTTGTCATCACCCGGTGATTGGCGTCACGTAATGAGTGAGGACAATCCGGCAGACTTGGCCTCTAGAGGAGTAAGTTCTTTGACTGCTCTCCGATACTGGTTCGAGGGGCCGGCCTTTCTGGAAGCGTCCGAGGCCCAGTGGCCACGCTACGAACCAAATTTCATACCAGAAGGAATAGAATTGAAGACGAAACGTGCTTCGGTTAATGTGACCGCTGCTTCGGAATCAACTGGGTTGCATCGTTTGATGGAAATGTGTTCCGATTGGTCTAAACTTGTACGATCTGTGGTATGGTTGACA